CGATTGACTTTAAAGCTTTATTTACTTTCAAACTTTCCTGGTCCCTTAAGTTAAGCGTCAAAGTCTGAGTACTTACAATGTGTGCATTTTAGACGCCGTCAGATTTTTCTAGCGTCACGAGTTCACGTTCGAATGCAACTTACTTTGAATGACGTTCGGTGTTTATTGTGATCTGTGTGTCAAATGATAAAGGAATGTACAAGTGATTATTTGACTGCCGTAATTTTTCAGTTTCACTAATCTTTTCTCCTGTAGCTACACTTCAAGTGACGTCCGTGCTGACTTGTGTTTGTGTTTTAATATTATAGACAGGTTATGATGCGTTTGAGCATGAAGGTAAGAAGTTTTACTGGGCGGCATTCCTGGACGGTCTGCAGCGTGTGTTGCTTATCATTGATGACTTTACACTGGCTTACAGAGCACAACTGGTAAGTACATGTTGTGTTCTGATAAACAGGACGAGTGGCCACTTGATGCTGTAAGTGTCTTGTGAAATTTAGCTTTTTCATAACTTTCCTTACTTTGCCCTCCTTTTTTCAAAATCAAAACGAGGTATGGGGTTTGGTCAGGGATGGGGTAGTGGTACTTAAGAAAAAACGACGTGGTGGCGTGGGGTATGTACTAAGCCCTTTAAATAACTTAGCTAAAAATGAGAGAGGGAGGGCGGAAAGGAGGTGGGGGGTATCAAGGAAAACCGTCCCTTGGGTATTTAAAGGTTGCTTCCCATCAGCTACCCGCTTGTTTTAAACCGGGGTTGAAGCTTGTCATGACAAACTGTCGTTCTAGTCACATTGGAATTCCAAATCTGAGGATACATTTAGGTTTCTTCGCTTTAGCCTGTCATAAGAATGGTTAGTACCATTATCCGATAACCAATAATCAATAAGACACTACTGGTAGTTCATTTTCAATTGCCTTTAACACTACCTCTGTTACTCTTAGTGCGATGGGCATTGTCACTCCGATAGGCTCTGGGCTTTCGTGTGAATTTTACGAGTGGTGTATTTCCCAGTAAATGCACTCGTGTCTATATAATAAAGGACTATAAATATTTTTGAACGTTCGTATCATTATGGTCTGAGTTTTGTTTTTACTGTATTTTTCTTCGTCAAGGAACAAAAAGAACGCCCGTCCCAGCGCATCACTTTAGATCTTCAGGGTGTTGGCTTGTCTCTTGTCAACAATGAAAAGAGTATTGAAGTCGCCTACATTGGAATCAGACCGTAAGAACTTTACATTTTTGTTGGAAGTTGCTTGGTCATTGTTGGGACTGTGAACGAACTTGATTGGTCAGAATCACACAAAAATGTCAGTCATGTAAAATGTCAAACATACAGGATTTGCATCTGGGGTCTTTTGCATCTGAACATGCTCTTATAGCTTTCTCGAAAAGCATTAAAACTTATCGACTTCACCTTCAGGTATTTTCATTATAACTTTTACAAATGTTGATCCCATTTAGTGTCTTCTACGGAATTACCGAAATCATGTTTAATGAAATAAAATTCCCTGGAGTTTGCGAAGTTGAGGTCATGCGAAAAATAATGTGATATTTATACGTGATTAAAGTGGTTAAGACTGTACAAAATTGTAAATGTATGATGACAGTGATCAAACTGTTGTCAGACTGGGTCTTTTTGTGGCTTTTCTATCTTTGTAGGAGCGATATTATCTGGGAAGAGCAGAAAAAGAAAGGACGATGGAAGGCTCTCAAGGTGCGCCTCTGTGATGAATTGGAAGCTGCTTGGACTGAAATACAAAGAGGTCTGTCTGTGGGAGCCACTCCGAGTTATATCTACAAGTCTGCTGACTTGGAGGTGAGTAACAGTGTGCTTTAGTAATATATCAAACACGAAAGACCGTCTTTGACCACATTTCCAAACTCCGAGAAGAGAGTTGAAAATACGACGCGTAGCGGAGTGTTTTTGGAGACCTTTGAGGTGTTTGGAAATGTGATCAAACATTGTCTTGAGTGTTTGATACGTCTTCTCAACCGAAACTAAAACTAAGGAGAAAACAGAGATATAAAACCATAAAATCTATGCCAAACAAAATCAGATATCGAAACACTGTCACGGTCATGATTGTCTTTCTTTAAACTTGATAAATTAAACTTAAATTAATAACATTAAAAATAAAATTTATCTTGCCAACATGGATTTAATCATGTGCAGGTATTTCGGTGCAATATGGTGCCTCGGGACGCCAGTTTAGAAAAGGAATCAATGGCATATGAAGAATCCTTTCTTATGAAATTTGCTTTGGTAATCAAAAGAAAGTTCTCGTACTTTCCAAATGGAACGTTTTATGTTGTTTAATAATGTAATTTCAATGTGGGAGAGATCTTTTTATTGTAACGTGATGTGAACAATAGCGTACAACGGTATCTTCTTTGTTTCTTTGTTTGTTTCTTTGTTTGTTTGTATGTATTGACGCATCAAATGTGGATAAAGGAAGCGAAAAATCCACTCTGAGCTAGGATTCTTCGGTTCCTTTGATGCACCATGATCCTAGTGATCTTGGAGTAATCTGTTTGGTAAAGAAACACAAAATCTGTTTTTGGATTTAAGAATCCAATCTTGGGTTTTCCCAAAGAAACGCCTCCTTAGGTGTAATTTTTACCTCTAATTTTGTGTTTTGACCATTTCAGGTTGATTTTCAATTGATGGAAATTATGCGACCCACACGTCAGACCATTAGAAGAACTTTTACACCAGGAGTGTCTCTAGAGTACCTTGCGTCACCAAACGAAATGAGTTTCTTTGCCAAAATTAACTCAGTTCAGGTAAGAGAAAAGAGCCAAAATGTAGCTACGAAAAAGATGAAATCAGTCCAGGGAAGATCTTGAATCTTCAAGGTAATCTGCGGTGTTATTTAAACCAAATTTGCGACAGTCATCATCAGGGGAAATGTCGTAACTGCCGAGATTACCATCCACAAATGTAGCTCTCTGTCACCTTTCTTGTAAGTTGAACAACAACAACAACAACAAAACCTTTATTTAAGTGTCTGGGGGTGTTTAGTATTTCTGCTAATTAGGGACACAACATAAAAGATTTTACACCATAGTAGCGTATTATTTTTGATAGTAGCGGCAGTGTTCGCTGCAGTAGTAGTTCAAAAATGTTGAGGAGATTTTCAAAATTACCATCGTTCGAGTGCCTTCGTAATCATTTAGAAGATAAAAAAACTTTAGTATTTTTTTTTGACTACTGACTATTGTTCTTGTGTTTGTTCGTCCACAGATTGACAGCCAGGTCCCGGACGCTACCTTTCAAACTGCTCTCTACCGAGTTCCCCCTCCAAAGTCTCTCGCAGCAGAAAACGGTAAGGGTTCAAAGTCTTTCAGTCCTAACGGTTGTATTTTTACTTTTAGATTTACGTTTATATATATTGTAGTACCTCGCTTAGATTTGGACGTGTATTACTTGTAAAAAGCTCTCCAGTTCCTAGGGGCTACCTTTATAAATAAACTACTTCTTTATTTGGATGCTTGGTTGGTTGGTGGGTGGCTTGGTTGATTGGTTGATGACTCACCGAACTGATTTCGTAATCTGCTGTTCTCAATCCTGGATCAACTTGATGCTGGCGCGAATACCGGGGCAGGGAGTGACTTTAAATGGGAACTGCTTCTGTTCCTGTTCTTGTTAACTGATAATACGTGCTCTTTTGTTTTAGCACCAAAGCCGTACATTGAATTGAGCTTAGTCACTAAACAAGAGGAGCACACACATGTGAATGAAATCAAGTAAGTTGCATTGAACAACACTGAAAGGTTTGATTGAAACCTGAAATACTAGTTTTCTTAACCGGTTGTCGTACATTTCTGTGTGGCAATGGTACTTCTGAGGATTGGGTGATAAGTCACGACAATGTACCGTAGTTGATGATTATAGTTATTCTCCTCACCTGTCTGCTTGGCAATGTATTGAAATTGTAACGAGAAATTAGTTGTTATAACTTCTTCACCCTATAGATAAGATTTTAACAAATCCCAGTGGAGATAAATCCCCTGATTTCAACTCAAACTCATTTTTTTCTTGTAGTAATGGTGGCGAGAGGTTGTTAAATTCGACACATTTTCGTTTATTCGCAGACCTCCTTGTCTTATTTTACCGTGCATTTATGTTTTGTTGAGAAATAGTTTAAAGATTTGTTATGTGGACGTGCAATTTTCGTTGAGTTGTTTTTTATAAATCTGTCTTTATATTCTGCCTCTAGGTATTTCAAGGTACTTATTCAAGAGATGGATGTGAAAGTTGATATGGGATTCCTTATGGCTCTTCTTGGTCTCTTCTCTTCCGACACCATTGATAGGAGCCAAGAGGTAACAAACATCACAGGAGTCCTAATCAGTAAACCGTATTGCACCGCTTGTTGAGTGAGGCAATTTAAAATTCTGGAAATCCAACACATTCTTTTTCTAGCACTTACAACCAAGATGGCGTCCCCCCCCCCCCGAGAACGTCGAGGACTTCAACTTAGAATGTAACAGTTGTAATATTTGATATTAGTATAAGTCTACTAGCGTTCTATTACGAATGTTTCTGATTGGCTACGCTACTCACTATCCTGCTGTAGATAGTGAGTAGCGTAGAAGTTTGCGACTGTGAACAAAATGACGCCCGTTTCTTTTCATTTTCGAGGTGTCTGTGAAGAAGATTAAGATAACGTTTTGAACGAGTAGTAGATTTATACTGAAACAATTATCTCGAGCTCATAATCTAATTGTTAAATAGTAGTATATTGTATTGGCATTATCGGACAATCTAGTCCATAATTTTAGCGTGTGTTAGTAATTGTACATTTCCTTAAACATTTTCTTAGATGGCTTTGGAGTCCGATTCGTAAATAGTAGTAGGACACAGTATTTTTTTTCTTTTATTTTAGTGCACGGCCCCATAAGCGTACAGCTTTAATCACTACCATGGAGAAATAGTTTATTGCATTGTATTGTACATCATTTACATTAACTGTTCTTCCCATCTCAGTCCTGGAAATAATTTCTTCTCTGATCATTTCAAGGGAAGCTGTTTACTAGCTTGCCTTGTAAATATCGGTTAACAGAATACATTGTTCATCAGATCATTAAACACCAATTCTGACACTGAGGCTGTACGTTTTGTTTCCACAGGCTACCCAGTATTCCTTGGACAAAAAACGCGTCCATGACAAACTAGGCGAGGCGTTTGCTGTTCAGGTTTGTACCTCGATGTATTAATGTGGAAATAAACTTCGCTGAATTTCACGTGTGTTCTCCGTTGTTTCAGGCTGCGTTGAGTGCTACAAGGAATTTCTTTGACTTCTTCCATCTGTCGCCGCTAAAGGTAAGAAGTCCTTAATTGTAGCCGCCTTCTGGCTTGTATACAACAGAGTTATGATCTGTCCATCTAGTGATCGTACTAAGTTGTTCTGAGAAAAGTTCAAAGGTGTTAGTCTTTGGAAACCAGCTGCTTCTAGTGAGCACCATGTCATATGGCTTGAGGCAACGCGGCAAACCATTATACCAGTCCTGGATTGTGTATGCCCCATTACACTTGGGCCCTGTCCACACTAATGCGTGTGGAGATCGGAGACATCTGAAAATAAAGTCCTTCTGTTTCAGTGTGGACGGAGCGTTACTCCTCATTCATAGGAGATCATTACAACATTTCTGGTCGCCCAGAGATCGCACAATGTTCCTTTCAATCCTCTTCTAGGAAAAAAGGCGATTTTCAAATGTACTATCTTCGTACCGAGTTTATCCTCTGTGGTTTTGGAATTTCTTTGTAACTCACAGTTAACCGGCCAATGAGAGAATGAAGCCTTCGGACACATCCTTGGCTGATTATTTAAGGGCTACTTCACGATTTGCGTGTCTTTATAAGTATAGCCTAAATTTTTCAAGTTCGTCCTTTGTAATCGGACTTACTCTTCTCCATCCTTGTTCCTTATTATTATCTGTTTGGCGTTTTTCTATATTAGTAAACTACTATTTTCAGGTTTCCTTCACTTTAATGGCAATTTTGCATGTGGCCAAAATGACGTGATTGAGCTCCTTTAATATTGATTCCCCGTACAGATTCATCTGAGTTTCTCTCAGCTGGGTGGTGGCGCAGGCGGTGATAAATCACAGACTCATATCGGCGGCAGTTTTCTGAGCCTGTTATTGCAAAGTGTTGGAGTAGCAGTCACTGAAGTACAGGACGTAGAATTCAAGTGAGTAACTGACCAAGGGAGTGCTTTTGCTATGCTTTTGGAGAACCTCTTTTGTTCGGTATAGTTTTGTAAGGTGTGTAATATTCGGATCAATTTGTTTAACGTTTTCTTCTCCCATCCATTTTCGCTTCCCCGCCCTTCCTCCCCACCTCCTCCCCCAGCCGATTATAGGTCTGAGGAGGAACAATCAAGCACTGTCAGTGTAATCGCCATAATTTTTCGTTCGTTTAGAGAGCAAAATTGCTACTGAACAAGGTGCCCTATTTCTGCCGCTGCCACTGGTCTATTAATACATTTACTATTTATTTGTGTAACCAAGGATTTGTCATTGAAGTACCGAGTTTGTTCTCGGGCCGAATCGTTTTGAAGAAACGTTGTGACATACTTTGTGAAGAGTTGTCTGAGCTTTTCTTTCGTCGTTGTAGGCTTGCGTATTTTGAAATTGAGGACAAAGTGTACACTCAACAGCAGTTGATGGACGTCGCTGTCAACCATTACTCGCGTCAGGTAAATAAATTGTATCTCTACAGTAAATCGTTGCGATCAATGTGGTTTTGATTAGTTGTGTAATTATATATTTTGGTGGTCACTATGTTTAAGCGGACAATTTTTACAATGATTCGGTAAAGCCTTGCTGGAGCACTCTTTAATTCACCCACCTTAAGATCTCTGGCCCTGGTTTATTGTAAAATCAGGTACCGTTTTATTTTTGGAATTTTTTGTGGGCTCTACAAACGCTATCTGTTAGACTCCACATAGAGGGCAATACTGTTATCAATTTAGCTTCCTTAGATCTGTGGCTTCTCGTTTTCCCTCAGCCATTCCAAAATGGTTTTATATAAGTGCACACTTATTAGTGTAGCCTTAATGTTCTCCAGTTTAAAACTTCACCTGCGTACAAATGGAGGTATTAGAAGTTCTTTCCGAGTAAGCCATGCCGTGTATATAACCGACTCCTATTGGTATCTCTAATCTGGCCTAATCTATCATCGGAGCTAAAGTTCTGACTAATATTTGTTATGTGTCTTGATTGTCAGGCTTTGAAGCAGATGTACGTGTTGGTGTTAGGCCTTGATGTGTTGGGAAATCCATTTGGTTTGATAACTGGCTTGAAGGAAGGTGCTGTAGACTTCTTTTACGAACCTTACCAGGTTGGTTAAACGGCTTATTTCCATTGTCTGGCGTAGATTTTGCTTTGTTCCTCTGGCTCAAAACCTAAGAGTCAACCAACGTTACGAGAAATGCTTGTGCTTGTAACTCTTTCGACAACCAATGTCTTAAGTCCTGGGTTTGCATTTTTGATATAATGGAAAGGGTTGGATCGCGGGGACGGCGGGGAAAAATTAAGTGATTTTCACCGACGGCTGCTCCTAGATGTTTTGGAAGTCGGTGAACTACCTCTGAAGATTTTTAATTTGTTTTTGCTTTTTTTTTTTCTTTTTGCAGGGTCTTATACAGGGACCTGGTGAGTTTGCAGAGGGTTTGGCGATTGGCGCTAGGAGTTTGTTTGGACACACAGTTGGTACGTTGATATGCATGTATCTTCAGTCTCTAATGCTAACATTCCTTTAATGTATTTTCAGTAATGTTTACTGCGTAATGTATTTTTTTCCCCGCATTTTCCTAACATGGTGGTAACCAGCTCGAAAGTCAATGGTTACTCTGGTTGCCACGCACATATTTTTTTTTATTCTTTCCATTACTATATACAATATATATTTCTCTTCTCATATTTATTTTTGATGTAAATTAATTCTGTAAATACTGCGCAATAAAAGTTGATTGATCGGTTGATTTCACCCTGGATAAGTTCTTGTAAAACGAGAGCGTTTCATTTGTCTTCCAGGTGGTGCGGCTGGCGCAGTCTCGCGAATAACTGGCACGCTGGGCAAAGGTATCGCGGCTCTCACAATGGACGAGAAACACAAACAGGAGAGGAGACAGGCCATGGGAAAGAAACCAGTCAATGTCAAAGAAGGGCTCACCAGGGGTGGGAAGGGATTGTTCGAGGTACGGGTTAACGTAGATTACCAATAGGGGATTCATTCTGACGTGCTGACGTCATTGTTTACATTTTTGCTCATTTGCATACGGCTTTGCATACAGAAGGAAACATGTTAGATATGAGTTGACTCCAGGCAGCTAAAGAGCTAGTGAAACTTAATACATGGTGAAATTTTTTAGCTCTTTGGGTGTAATATTGAAGGAGATATTGTCTTTCAAAAACTGTAAAATTTCTGGGTGGTAAAAGCGCTAACGACCTCATGCATTCTTTGTAAAATTTTGAGTTTTTAAACCCGTGTTGCACAAAAAGTATATAATACGTCAGGCTCATATTCATTGGCAGAGTTAACCGTACTATGACCTTTCAATATTTAGAACTGTTTTATTTGTAATTCCATCAAAAACTGAATTGCTTATGCTAATGAGGCAAATATTGTAAACAAGGATTCCCCTATCGACTTCGAGCAAGTAACGCCCTTGAATTTGGCAAAGTGTAGGCTTTATTGTCAAGAGAAAATATTTGCTGTTTAACATGATATTATCAGTTTATTTTATTTAGAAGCAAGGATTGTCTTGTCAGTAATTGTTTTCTCTGTATCAGGGCGTTGTTGGAGGTGTGACAGGGATAGTGACCAAGCCAATGGAAGGTGAGTCCATTCAGTTTCTACCATGTACCGGCTCGGTGATTTTTCGTTTCGTCTATTTCTAGTCTGTTGTCACTTAAGTATTAAATCTGATAATAACTGATTCGCCTAGTAGCCCTATGCTACCAGCGGATCAGTTTTACATCTGTATTAATTTTAAATGCAATTGAAATAAAGTGTATTTAAAAGTGTGAGTGTGCAAGTGTTGGTACTTTTAGTGAGAGGTTTATAAGTGACTGAGATTTTTCGACTGCCTTGGAGAGCGTTGTCTTGGTAAACGAATCTTAGTACACGATAGTTATTTAAACTTTGGAGCGGTAAATAAATCATTTGTTTCCTGACCTCAGTCAGTCGTCAAACAGGTGGGTAATCTCATCCGTCATACTTGTCTGGTGGATAAGCGTTAACAAATCTAATTGGGCAATCAACTGGCGAGTGATAATCCTGTGGCTAGTGTTATCCATACTCAGTCAACCAGTTCCCTATCAGCTGCCTGTATCAACTGACAATTCTTTGGTTGATGATTCTAGTTGCATCTGTAAAATCGTTTTTGTTTAGGAGTTGAGATCCACGCGAAGTTACTGCTAGCTAGCAGTGTGCTTATTCGACCTCGCAAATAATAACGTCATTCGAATAATATATCAAACACGAAGAAAGTGTTTCATCAGAATATCCAAACACCGAGAAGAGAGTTGAAAATACGACGCGCATCGGAGTATTTTTGTCGAAGTTGGAGGTGTTTGGATAGCCGACGAAACACTGTTTCGAATATTTGATATATCTTCTCAATCGAAAAAAAAATAATAATAAAAAAGAAGTAAACGGAGAAGTAAAATCGTCAAAATCTGTACTAATCAAGACCGGGTATCCGAACCTTCTCTACGGTTGTGATTTTCTTTGTTTTAACTTGGTGAATTATTAATGAGTTTGAGAAGCTTAATTTTCGGATGAATGATTGAGCCTATAAATCAGAATCCCTTAGTTATTACACCGCTAAAACTCAACATCTAGATCTGTTATCTTTCGATAAATGTGAACTGAATTTTTCAGTTGGTCTCTCTTGTAATTTCCCACATTGCTTTGTTCTTATTTCTCTTGACTTGTCTTTCTGTAGGAGCTAAAGAGGCCGGGGCTGCTGGATTTTTCAAGGGACTGGGTAAGGGTATGGTTGGTGTGTTGGCGAGGCCTGCTGGGGGACTGGTTGACTTTGCAAGCAGCACTTTGGAAGGAATCAAAGGGTTAGTACCAAGCTCGAAATATTTATTCTCCAGAGTAATTTAAGACACATTTTTGATGACCGTGCGGGAAATTTTGGGGTTCATCTGTACGCTTTGTCCTGAAGTTGCTCATTTAGAGAGCACTGTCATTAATCAAATGCAATTTTGTGTTAATAAGGAAACAAAGGGGAAGGGGCGATGGTAATCGAGAGAGTTATTACTGTGCTAGTCAAAGAAAGGTAAAAAAAAGAAAAATCAAAATAGGTGTTCAATTTTTTTTTATTTTTGTTCTTCATCTTTCACTCCCTTTTACTGTAGTAACTTGAGAAGAAAGAATAAATATCTGCCAGTATTTTAGTGGCATTTTGTTATGGAGTCCATATACATCGCGCTGATAATCTTTTGTTTTTGTAGATCTGCTAGTACGGGCAGTGAAGTGCGACGCCTGAGACCCCCAAGATGTTTCTACGCTGATAAGGTGACTGCTAAGAACGACATTTCGTCGCTGATACAAATCTGAAAACCGTCATCTCAATGGCGTTTGATTGGTGAAGAAGAATTTCTGCTTTGACGGGTTATCCGTCTCAGTTGAATTTGGTTTTTCAGGATCTTATTAATGTACTGTTAACGTTCTTTGCAGGTGATAAAGCCCTACAATTCACTTGAGGCCCGAGGGAACGCCATTCTCCAGGTATGTGACACACACAATTATACTTCTCGTTTGTGTTTCCTCGCGGCCAACACGCGCACAATGCGTCATATCACACTTAATTTATTGCATGTCTTGCTATTAAAACAGGAAATCAAGAAGACAAAAGCTGCGCTGCTGGATGATACCTATTTCTGTCACTATCATCTTAACATCAAGAAAGCGCTGATTATCACCAACAAGTGAGTTTAGCGAGGGCTAAGTTAGGGTACACTGTTCGAGTACAGTCCAGCCATCTTCCCATCAGTTATATCGACTGGGAGTGAGGGTGGATGGAAACTGGAAGAAGCTTAACGCCTTGCATCTCCTTGTTCCCTAGAGCGAGGGAAAACCATTATTCTTCTTTATTATGGTAATGCATTCAAGCTGGTAGTTAAGTACGAAGAGGGGGGCCGTGGGGTAGGAGAAGTGGAGATTGTAGTAACTACAATCACAGGCAAAAGTTTTGGGTCAAATTTGCACTCTTGGCGCTTTTGCACACACGAAGACGCGAATGCAACTTCACCTGCTTAGCCTCTCCCCCCACGTCACATACAGTGTTGAAAACTGGTACCTGCAATTTGAACTTTGCATTGGGTGGGGAGGCGGAACAGCAGCGCGTTCTAAAAAGGATATGTAGCAGTGTGTGTGTGTTTTTTTTTTCAAACTTCAGTTGTAAAACCCAGATAATTCGTTGCAGTACATCAGTGTTCCAAGTACTTTTGTCCGCCATTGTAGACGGCGAGCCGTCGCGCCCATGTTTACAGTCACCCGTTTTTTTTCTTTTTGTTTTGTTTTTGTTTGGCCATGTAAAGCTTTCTGTATGCACCTAATCTGCTGCTGGTTTGATGACTATCAACTTGCCATCTGTCTGGTTTTCTTTATTTGTTTGGCAGACACATCATAGTTGCTGGTAAAACAGAAGTGTTTGAGACTTGGCAGTGTGACTGGATGTGTGAATTTAGAGAGCTTCAAGAGGAGCCGACAACTGAGGGGCAAAAACTCATTCTTAAAGTCCCGGTAAGACAGTTACTTTCAACAGTGATGATCAGCTAGTCTTAAATGCCAGCTGTCTTGATTTAATTGTTATATGAAGCCTCTTTTGCAAATACAAACAGGATTTTAGAGCTTTATGGCAAAGGGAAGCTGATCCCCATATACCACATCAACTGGTCACCATCAGGGCCCATAACGGCTAAGCAACATTTCTTGTGGTAATCGAGGGGTCTGTCTAGCGGAGCAAGTTTGATAATTTCCAAAGACATTGTCGAGCTGCGTCGACGAGCAAGTGGAACACTTAGCTATTTAACAACTTGAAGGTGATAAGGGTAAATTAAGCGTAGGGAGTTTGGGAAGTCAGCGCCTTTAGCGGTAGCTCGCTATCGGAGGCCGAGGAAACCAAACTGTTTGTTTCTCTGCTGTTATCAATGCTGTGTTGTAAAGTTACGTTCTTAAGTGTTGGTCGAGTAGGACATAATTTGGCCGAGGGAGAAGTCATAGATATTGCATTGTGAGATGGACGTTCTGCAAAGAAAAGCTATTTGGTGCCATGTGACCTTTTCACTTCAGTTGTTGCTCAAGCTCCATTAAGAAGATAAACTAACTAGCGTTTATGACCATTTATCATGTTTGTTTTACTTTCATTTATGTTAAGGACAAAGCCAAAGGTAAAGGCATTTTCAAGAAGTCAGCTGTAAGATCCATACAGACCCCAAGTTCAGAGGTCGCTCAGGTATGGTATCCCTGTCTAGACATTTGACCGTAAATTATTCTATATGCCGCATAATTCGCTCGGAAGACGTGACGGTGTCTGTTCCTGTTGCATTCCAGCTTTGTACTTCTAAGGGAGACAAAAAACTAATTTAATAGCTTTTTGTGATCTGGTAACAAAGGAGTTTGATGGACACGTCATTCTACTAGTGCCAATCTCGTACCCAATCCCTCCTTTCATCTGTCGACCAAGAAGCCAGAAAATGATGAGCAGGAAATTGCGCGCTGACTCGTACCCAGTCGCTATTGGATTTTTTCAAAGAGAAAGCGGTCTGAATCGAGTGAAGCGCGCGGAAGTTGTGGGAAGAGGCGAGAAAAATATCGACGCTATTTTTCCTTTGACACTTCCCATGACACCCTGCGCGCCATAATCTGTCCTAGTATCCAATCCTCAATCCCCTCAAAACACGTAAATAGCGACTGGGTACGAGTCTGCCACGGTTGGTGTTCACTCGCGGCAACTTGGACATTTTCTTCGACATAGAGCGACAGTTTCTGTGTCGATCATTACTTCCCAGTCTATGTCATTAATAAAGCTGCTACTGTTAACGCAAAAGGCCGAATTTACCTTTTTCTTTCCTTCTTTTTTTCAGTTGCTGGTGGGAAAAATCCGGGAAGCTCGTTCTTAGAGCAAATTCCACTCGTTGCTAACGAAATTATACGAATGCTTGCTTCAACAGAGACATGAATAATATAACCAGTGTGTTCCTTCGACAAAACTTTAAAAACGACTGCGAACGGGTGGTCATTAAACCCTTAAATTCCAGAGTAAATCAAAATGGTGTTTCTTCTCACGGTGTCAATATCATGGTCGAGCAGATAAGTGATGAGAATACAGAAAATTATCAATTTGGAATAATCTTGATGTGTCCCCGAATTCTTGCAGCGAACGGTAAACGAAATGTATGGTAATAGAGACTAGAGAGAATTGCTCTTTTGAGCGTGTAATTAAACGGCCTAAAAAAAGATTTTGGATTTACTAATGACTACTCTACTCAAAGTAAGGTATGCTGGCTTCATATACATAGACTGAAGGGAACGTTATT